CGCACCCCCAGCAGCCGCAGGTTTCGCCGACCCTTCTTTGGACCGGGTCCCCTGGTGACGCGTCCACGTTCCATGTCTGGGGCTGCCTTGCTCACGTTCGTGCCTCTGGCACGGACAAGCTCACTGCCCGCACCCTCCCCTGTGTCTTCCTCGGTTTCCCATCGACTCGTTTGCCTGACACTTCTACCACCCGACGTCTCACTGTTTCTTTCACTCTTGCGACGTCACCTTTGACGAGTCTGTCTACTTCTACCACCGCTTTCCCCATCGTGGTCCCCCGGTTACTCCCCCCTTGTTCCTGGTCCCCCCTCCCCCGGTCGCCCCTGCTTCCCCACCTCCCCGCCTTGCCCCATCTGGTGTGTCTCACGTCACCCCCCTCCCGTCGGTTGTCCTGGTTGAGGAGTCTGCTGACTCTCGTGGCCCTACGGCGCAGTCCTTGCCGTCTGCCCCCTTCACCGTGTCTCCTCCTCGGCCTTCGCAGCTGCAGCCATCGTCGCAGCCGCAGCCGCCGTTGCAGCCGCGGCCGTCGTTGCAGCCGCGGCCGTCGTTGTCCCCACTGTAGCAGCAGTTAGTGCCCTCTGGGGGTGCTGGTGCTGAGGAGGGTGCCCGTCTTGGGGGTAGTGCCGGTGCTGAGGGGGTCTCTGGTTCTGGGGGTGTTCCTTCTGGGGTTGCTGGAATGGAGTGTTCCGGAGTTAGCCGTGTAGGTGCTGGCGGTCCAGGTGTCGGCCCTCCGCCTGCTCGGCCTTCCCTCCCCTGACCGCGCGTCTGCGCCTCTCTTACCCTGCGCGCTGGTCTCTGACCATGCCTGTCGTCCATCTGTTGGGGGTGCTCCTGCCCTTAATAGTGACGTTTTGGAGGACCGACAGTACGAGCTTGCTTTCCTGTCCGAGGCTGCTCCCCATCTCTGCTCCATGCTACTAGTTTCTGAGGGTGACCTAGACGTTTTCAACATCCCGACCCCTCGCACCTATGCTGAGGCCACCTCGGGACCTTGGGCTTCTCAGTGGATAGCTGCCATGGAGCAGTAGATGGCATCTTGGAGGTCCACCGGCACCTACGTCGACGTAGTTCCCCCACCTGGGGTGAACGTAATCGATGGCCGCTGTCTCTTCAAGGTGAAGCGCCCCCCTGGAGCCGCCCGTGTTCAAGGCGCGCTACGTGGCTAGAGGCTTCAGTCAGTAAGAGGGGGTGGACTTCTTCCAGACCTTCGCACCGACCCTAAAGTTGACTACTCTTCGGGTGCTACTGCACGTAGCAGCTCAGCACGACTACGAGCTACACTCCCTTGACTTCTCCACAACGTTTTTTCAGGGCAGCCTACACGAGCAGGTCTACCTACGCCGCCCTCAGGGCTTTACTGGCACCTTCCCTCCTTGGACCCAGTGGCTCCTGCAGTGTCCAATCGACGGTTTGCGACAGGCGCCCCGTGAGTGGCACGACACACTACGCGCCATGCTAGCTGACCTGCAATTCTTCCCGTTCTCTACTGACCCTTCGCTCTTTGATTGTGCTGGCCATACCCCATTCTACCTCCTTGTTTACGTAGACGACCTGGTCTTCGCTATTGCAGACAGGGACGCGCTGGCCTTCGTGAAGGTAGAGCTGCTGAAGAGACACACCTGTACTGACGTAGGAGAACTGTGCCACTACCTTGGCCTGTAGATCTCCAGGGACAGAGCAGCGCACACCATCACTCTCTCACAGTCACACTTGGTGCGCAAGGTCCTTCAGTGGTTCGGCCTTCAGTTCTCCTCCGCACAGCCCACACCTCTACCAGTAGACCACAGGCTCTCGGCTCCAGTTCCTGAGGAGTCAGTAGAGCCCAGTGGTCCCTATGCTGAGTTGGTGGGTTGCCTCATGTACCTGATGACCTGCACTCGCCCAAATCTCCCATACCCTCTCAGCATCCTGGCTCGCTTTGTGGCCACAGGCAGACACCGACCACAGCACTGGTCGGCCGCTAAGAGGGTTTTGCGTTATCTTGCGAGTACATCGGGCATGGGGTTGGTGCTTGGAGGACGCAGGCCAGTGGTCCTCCTGGGCACACAGACGCTTCTTGGGCAGACGACGGTGAGACCCTTAGGTCATCCCAGGGCTACTTTTTTAGTCTTGGTTCAGGTGTTGTTTCGTGGAGAGCTACTCGCTCCTCGTCTATTGCCCTGTCCAGCAATGAGGCTGAGATCTACGCCGGTGCCATGGCGGCACAGGAGCTCCGCTGGCTGACCTTCTTGCTTGCCGACTTAGGTGAGCGGCCTAGCTCTGCCGGTGCAGACCGGGGCAGAGCTAGGCCACTCACCTAAGGCGAGCTAGGCGACGCATCGGTTTGATCATGGAGGTGGCTTGTACCTCCATGATCCATGCCGGTGCACCCCATTTTCTGTGGCCGTTCGCCGTTCGCTACGCCGCCCACCAGCTTAATATGTGGCCACACCCCCAGCAGCCGGAGGTTTTGTCGGCCCTTCTTTGGACCGGATCCCCTGGTGACGCGTCCGCGTTCCACGTCTGGGGCTGCCTTGCTCACGTTCGTGCCTCCGGCACGGACAAGCTCACTGCCCGCACCGTCCCCTGTGTCTTCCTCGGTTTCCCCCTCGACTCGTCTAACTGGCACTTCTACCACCCGCCGCCTCACCGTTTCTTTCACTCTCACGACGTCACCTTTGACGAGTCTGTCTCCTTCTACCACCGCTTTCCCCATCGTGGTCCCCCGGTTACTCCCCCCCTGTTCTTGATCCCCCCTCCCCCGGTCGCCCCTGCTTCTCCACCTCCCCACCTTGCCCCATCTGGTGTGTCTCACGTCACCAACCTTTCATCGGTTGTCCTGGTTGAGGAGTCTGCTGACTCTCGTGGCCCTACGGCGCAGTCCTTGCCGTCTGCCCCCTTCACCGTGTCTCCTCCTCTGCCTTCGCAGCCGCAGCCATCGTCGCAGCCGCAACCGCCGTTGCAGCCGCGGCCGCCGTTGTCCCCACTGTAGCAGCAGTTAGTGCCCTCTGGGGGTGCTGGTGCTGAGGAGGGTGCCCGTCTTGGGGGTAGTGCCGGTGCTGAGGGGGTCTCTGGTTCTGGGGGTGTTCCTTCTGGGGTTGCTGGAATGGAGTGTTCCGGAGGTAGCCATGTAGCTGCTGGCGGTCCAGGTGTCGGCGTCGTGCAGCCGCAGCAGCAGCGGTCACCGTCGGTGTCCGCCCTCCGCCTGCTCGGCCTTCCCTCCCCTGACCGCGCGTCTGCGCCTCTCTTACCCTGCGCGCTGGTCTCTGACCCTGCCTGTCCTCCGTCTGTCGGGGGTGCTCCTGCCCTTGGTAGTGACGTTTTGGAGGACCGACAGTACGAGCTTGCTTTCCTGTCCGAGGCTGCTCCCCATCTCTGCTCCATGCTACTAGTTTCTGAGGGTGACCTAGACGTTTTCAACATCCCGACCCCTCGCACCTATGCTGAGGCCACCTCGGGACCTTGGGCTTCTCAGTGGATAGCTGCCATGGAGCAGTAGATGGCATCTTGGAGGTCCACCGGCACCTACGTCGACGTAGTTCCCCCACCTGGGGTGAACGTAATCGATGGCCGCTGTCTCTTCAAGGTGAAGCGCCCCCCTGGAGCCGCCCATGTTCAAGGCGCGCTACGTGGCTAGAGGCTTCAGTCAGTAAGAGGGGGTGGACTTCTTCCAGACCTTCGCACCGACCCTAAAGTTGACTACTCTTCGGGTGCTACTGCACGTAGCAGCTCAGCACGACTACGAGCTACACTCCCTTGACTTCTCCACAACGTTTTTTCAGGGCAGCCTACACGAGCAGGTCTACCTACACCGCCCTCAGGGCTTTACTGGCACCTTCCCTCCTTGGACCCAGTGGCTCCTGCAGTGTCCAATCGACGGTTTGCGACAGGCGCCCCGTGAGTGGCACGACACACTACGCGCCATGCTAGCTGACCTGCAGTTCTTCACGTTCTCTGCAGCCATCGTCGCAGCCGCAGCCGCCATTGCAGCCGCGGCCGCCGTTGTCCCCACTGTAGCAGCAGTTAGTGCCCTCTGGGGGTGCTGGTGCTGAGGAGGGTGCCCGTCTTGGGGGTAGTGCTGGTGGTGAAGGGGTCTCTGGTTCTGGGGGTGTTCCTTCTGGGGTTGCTGAAGTGGAGTGTTCCGGAGGTAGCCGTGTAGCAGCTGGCGGTCCAAGTGTCGGCGTCGTGCAGCCGCAGCAGCAGCGGTCGCCGCCGGTGTCCGCCCTCCGCCTGCTCGGCCTTCCCTCCCCTGACTGCGCGTCTGCACCTCTCTTACCGTCTCCTCCTCTTCCTGTCTATGACCTTGTGTTCCCTCCTTCGGACTCCTCTCTGGCTCGTCATCCCCCTCGTTCTGTTGTGTGATGTCATCATATGCTATCACATTCTGTCTGCCTCCCATCCCATGTTTTTTCAACTTGCATGTGTGGTTTGAATGTGCAAGCATTTGTGTGTGGTGTGTTCTGGAGTTTGGGAATGTGTTTTGTGTTATTCTGTCTGAGCAGGTATTTGTGATAATAGATCTTGAGAAGATCTTTCCGACGCAACAAGAATCGCTTCAATCGGAGCAAGAACGCGAAAGCTATGAAGATTCAAAGTTCATGAGCTTGCGTTACAATTGCGGCGGTTACTAAGTGAAGTTGTGGGGTGACTTTATATGGAGTTGGGACCTTTGGGGTTGGGGAAACTTGTCACTCTACTGTAACAGCTGCAAATTGGTTGGGAACAACCAAGCTAGGTTGGCAAGGGTGGCCAACTTGGATGGATTGGTTGGGAAGGGACAAATGTCAAAGTTGGGGTTCCTATAGGGAGGGAATCTTTGTGCTTATGGGGTTTTCCTTGGTTGGGGACTCTCTTGGGACCTTCCCTCTCATCCCTCTCTTCCTATCCCAACCTTTCTCTTGCTCCTTCTAATTCCTTGTGAGATTCTTGAACTTTGATTGAACTCTTGAGATTGAGTTAAGTTCTCCTCCTACAGCTTACCCCCTAGTGCGTCGAAAGCCATAGCGTCGCGAATACTTCATCAATCAACGTGATTCAAATTGGGAACGGTAGCTGAGATCAAGAGCTACAACATATCCAAGTTTCGCGACATTCCAACGGCTAGTGTTTTGTCGACGTCGTTTCTTGTGAAGACGACTTTTCTGTCCAGAATTTCGGATTTATATTTTGAGTAATTCTAGCTCCTAAGTTCACCTAGACTCTGTCCTTAATCCTAACAAGTGGTATCAGAGCAATATTAAGGACATTGAGAGGAGTCTACAGAAGTTTGAAGACCCTTCTAGACCCACCATGGCCTGTGGGTGTGCCTAAGTGGTGTTCTAAAGGTTGGATGTGTCTTCCGCTAAGGGGAAACTCTGCCGAAATTTCGTGGACGCCGACACTTGTGAAAATATCGAGGGAGCTGAGTGTGGACAGCAAAGGGGAGCTGAAATTCGTCATTTCTCAAGGAGAAGATGAATGAGAGAGGAGGAGATGCTAATGGAAGAGGAGCTGTACCTGAGAAGACAAGTGAGCCGCCGCCATCAAAAGTTGAAGCTTTGGATGGCTCCAACTATGAGGAATGGAGCGGACGGATGAGGAGTGCCTTCAAACGCTACAAGCTACTGAAGATTGCTGTTGGGGAAGAGAAGATGCCGGAAGAAGGCGAAGCACGTGAACGGTGGATTGAGAAAAGCGCGGTGCTTTTCGACCTCATTCTTCAATCGGTCAACAAGGAGATGTTCGAGCACATCAAGGATCTTGTGGAAGCGGATGATTCGGGTCCAAGGGCGTGGAAACTACTACGTGATGTGGTTCAGCCCAACACTCTCCTGATGGTGATCGTGCTCGAGAAGGAACTTGCTGCCATCTCCATGCAACCAGGGGACGATGTGAAGCCGGTCCTTGACAAGATCAAGGACACCTATGCAAGGATGGCAGCAGCGGGCAGCAGTGTATCTCAGCTGCAGCAGTGCACCAAGATCATCTCGGTGTTGGACAACTCTTGGGACAACCTCATCCCCACCCTCAACTCTCAACAAGATCAATGGACACCTGAGTGGCTAAGGCAGCAGATTCTGCAGGAGGACTTCCGCAGACGCCATGTGGGAGGCGGTGCTGCCACTAAGACTGCTGAGGGGTATGGAGCTGCAGGGCGCGGCAGAGGAAGAGGGGGTTGGAGAGGCCGAGGCCGTGGGAGGAGCTTTGGCAGAGGTAGAGGCCGAGGTGACTATAATGAGGGGCATGGGAGCTCTAGTGGCAGGGGGAGTACCAGAATGGAGGGCACCTGCTGGTACTGCAAGAAGATAGGGCATCCTTGGTTCAAGTGCTTCAGCAGGCCGGAGGGATGGGCACCTCCAGGCATGAAGCCACCCAGTGGTGAACGCGCACAAGGTGGCGCTGTGCAAGGCTCAGGTGCACAAGGTGAAGGTGCACAAGGTAATGCCTATCCTGGTTTGTTTCTTATGGTTGAGGATGTGCATGGGCATGAGGGTGATGTGGGATTTGTGGGAAAGGTTGTGATGCACCCTCTCACGCACTGGGTGATTGATTCGGGTTGCACCAGTCACATGACCCCACGGGCAGATTTGCTTGATGAGGTAAAACCCCCTGGGAAGATTAAGTATGTGGCAGCAGCGTCAGGTGCTTTGCTCCCCGTGATTGGTGTTGGGAATGCCAAGGTTAAGGGAGCTAATGGGGAGCTTGTGGGGCTTGGGAATGTTCTGCTGGTTAAAGGCTTGTCTGCTAACCTTCTCTCTGTGCGACGACTGCAGAAGAGTAAGGCCGAAGTGACCTTTGGACCAACCAGCTGCCGTGCTAAGCTTGGGAAGAAGGTGCTGTGGAGTCTGGAAGAGGAGACCAGCTGCATCAAGGACCTGTGGCAGCTGCCCATCATCCCTTGGAATGGGAAGACTCCAACAGCAGCAACGGCAGCAGTGGCAAAGGCAACAGCAGGAGGAGATGCAACTGCACCAACTGATGGGGTGCTGGAAGCAGTCAAGAAAGTGCAGAAGCAGCAGACACATGGTGAGGTGCTTGCTGGTGTGGATGCGAGTGCGGCATGGGCTAAGGCTTCATCAAGGAGTGGAGAGGCCGATTGGGAGACATGGCATGAGAGGTTGTGTCATGTGAACTTCCCTATGCTGCAGAAGTTGGTGAAGAATGGGAGCCTGAAGGGCTTGGAGGTGAAAGGGGAAGTGAAGGAGATTGGGAGCTGCCCTACATGCTTGGAGACCAAGTTCTCCAAGTTCCCCTTCAACAGTGCAACTGGACCATCCAAGACCCCACTTGCACTTGTGCACATGGATGTGGTGGGGCCCACAAGAGCCCCTTCCCTCTCAGGCAGCCGCTATTTCTTGACAATTGTGGATGACCACACTTGGGCAGTGTGGGTTTACCCTTTGAAGAGCAAGGGGGAGGTGGCAGCGGCTGTCCTTAAGGAGTGGATGCCGAGAGCTCAGAGGGAATGCGGACACAAGGTGAAGGTGATCCGTAGTGACAATGGTGGGGAGTTCATTGGAGCTGATTTTGAGGGGGAGTTGAAGAGGAAGGGGATCCAGCATCAACTGACAGTGCCCTACAACCCACAGCAGAATGGCGTGGCTGAGAGGTTCAACAGGACCCTGCAGGAGGGGGCACGCACTCTCCTTGGGCGTGCAGGGCTGCCTGATCCGTTTTGGGTGTCTGCACTGAGGCAGGTCGCCCTTGTGAAGAACAGGGTGCTGGCTACAGTTGGAGATAAGGAGTGGATCCCATACGTCAAGTGGTATGGGAGTGCTCCAGCTGTGAACATGCTGAGGGCATTTGGGTGCATGGTGGTGTTTCATGTGCCTAAGGAGAAAAGGGGGAAGTTGGAGGCTTCTGGAAGATGGGGTGTGCACTTGGGGATTGCAAAGGATCACAAGGGGTGGCTGCTATGGGACTTGACCACCCAGAAGTTGACAGTGTCAAGGGATGTGAAGTTTCTTGAGTCCCTGTACTACAAGGAATGGAAGCAGCAGCAACAGAAGCTTCCATCTACACCGCTCATTGTGGAGGCAGATGAGGTGCAGCAGCCTTCAAGACAGGTGGAGGTTGCAGTGTCAGAGGAGGAGATGTCTGGGGTGACTGAGGAAGGGGGAGCAGCTGAAGTAGAGCAGCAGCAGCAGCAGCAGCATGAGTCTCCACCTCGAGTTCCACACCCGCCTGAGCGTCCTAGGAGGGATGTGCGCCCTCCAGTGAGGCTGACCTATGGGGGAAGAGGCAAGCCGAATGTGGTGCAGGCTGGGAGTGTGGTTGAGCAGATTGAGGAAGATGAGATCGCTCACTGCTACTGGGCACCAATCCCTGAGCCCAAGACTCGAGAAGAGGCCTTGAATGGACCAAATGGGGAGAAGTGGAAGGCGAGTGAGGATGAGGAGTTCGGGTCCCTAATTGAGAACGAGACATGGGACCTGTGTGACTTGCCTCCTGGAAAGAAGGCAATCACTTCCAAGATGATCTACAGGCACAAGTATGGACCTGAAGGGGAGCTGACCCGCTACAAGTCTAGGCTTGTGGCACGGGGGTTTCAGCAGACAAAGGGGAAGGACTATGATGAGGTGTTTGCTCCTGTGGGGAAAGGAACAACACTGAGGGTGCTGTTGGCGATAGCTGCACTCCTGGGATGGAAGATTCGGCAGATGGATATTGTGACTGCCTTTCTGAATGGGATCATTATGGAGGAGGTGTACATGAAGCAGCCAGAGGGGCTGGATGACGGGAGCGGCAGGGTCTGCAGGCTGAAGAAGGCCATCTATGGCCTTAAGCAGGCGCCTCGTGCATGGTATCACAAGTTGGAGGAGGCGCTGTTGGCTGGGGGTTTCAAGAAGAGTGAGTGTGACCCCAGCCTGTTCCTGCTGCAGGAGAAGGATGAAATCCTCATGCTCTTGGTGTATGTGGATGATATCCTTCTCTTTTCTGCATCCACTGCTTTGCTGGACAGCGCAGAGCAGATGCTGGAGATGCAGTTCAAGTGCTCCAAGATGGGTGAGGTGAAGTACTACTTGGGGATGCACGTGGAGAGAGATGTGGAAAAGGGTGTGCTGAGGTTGCACCAGAGGAAGTACTGTGAGGGGCTGGCTGAGAAGTATGGGCTGCAAGATGGGGGAAAGCCAGCAACACCACTACCTTCGGGGTTCACTGTGGAGCCATGTGCTGATGAGGAGGTAGTGGGTGATAGTGACAGGAAGCTGTTTCATTCGATGGTTGGGTCGCTGAATTATGCTGCAAATCATACACGGCCTGACATTGCATTTGCTACATCACGGTTGGCTAGTGTGGTCTCACGCCCTAGTCATGAGCAGCTGGAAGCGGCCAAGAGGTTGGTCCGCTATGTGAGTGCTACGGCATCAGTGGGATTGGAGTACAGTGGAGTGAGGCAGCGGTTGCAGAGAGGTGCTGCAGATGTGAAGAGTGGAGAGATGCTCTTGAGTTGCTATACTGACGCTAGCTTCAACTCAGTGAAAGCGGATGGCACCAGCATTGGGGGTTATGTGTGCTTGCTAGGAGGTGGTGCTGTGAGCTGGCGCAGCAAGAAGCAAAATGAGGTGGGATTGTCTTCATGTGAGACTGAGTACATGGCCTTACACCATGGGGCCAAGGAAGTGGTATGGCTGAGGCGTTTGTTGGAGGAGTTGGGAGTTGGTCAGGAGAAGCCGACAGTTGTGTTTTGTGACAATGAGTCCGCTGTGAAGCTCGCCAAGAATGCTTGTCTGCATGGGCTGACAAAACACATAAGGCCTAAGTGGCATTGGGTGAGGAGACTCCTTGATAAGGAGGTGCGGCTGGAGATAGTGAAGACCCATCAGCAGGCAGCAGATATTTTCACTAAGCGTCTGGCGGAGGCGGATCATTGGAAGGGCATGAAGCTTGCTGGGATGAGTGTGCATTGAGTATGCATGCTTGAGATGTGGTATGGTCGATGATGGTTGGCAGCCAGAGGGGGAGATTGTTGTGTGATGTCATCATATGCTATCACATTCTGTCTGCCTCCCATCCCATGTTTTTTCAACTTGCATGTGTGGTTTGAATGTGCAAGCATTTGTGTGTGGTGTGTTCTGGAGTTTGGGAATGTGTTTTGTGTTATTCTGTCTGAGCAGGTATTTGTGATAATAGATCTTGAGAAGATCTTTCCGACGCAACAAGAATCGCTTCAATCGGAGCAAGAACGCGAAAGCTATGAAGATTCAAAGTTCATGAGCTTGCGTTACAATTGCGGCGGTTACTAAGTGAAGTTGTGGGGTGACTTTATATGGAGTTGGGACCTTTGGGGTTGGGGAAACTTGTCACTCTACTGTAACAGCTGCAAATTGGTTGGGAACAACCAAGCTAGGTTGGCAAGGGTGGCCAACTTGGATGGATTGGTTGGGAAGGGACAAATGTCAAAGTTGGGGTTCCTATAGGGAGGGAATCTTTGTGCTTATGGGGTTTTCCTTGGTTGGGGACTCTCTTGGGACCTTCCCTCTCATCCCTCTCTTCCTATCCCAACCTTTCTCTTGCTCCTTCTAATTCCTTGTGAGATTCTTGAACTTTGATTGAACTCTTGAGATTGAGTTAAGTTCTCCTCCTACAGCTTACCCCCTAGTGCGTCGAAAGCCATAGCGTCGCGAATACTTCATCAATCAACGTGATTCAAATTGGGAACGGTAGCTGAGATCAAGAGCTACAACATATCCAAGTTTCGCGACATTCCAACGGCTAGTGTTTTGTCGACGTCGTTTCTTGTGAAGACGACTTTTCTGTCCAGAATTTCGGATTTATATTTTGAGTAATTCTAGCTCCTAAGTTCACCTAGACTCTGTCCTTAATCCTAACACGTTCCCCTCGTGTGTCTCCTCCTCTGTCTCCGGACCCGACGCCCCGTCGCACGTCTGGGCTCGTTGTCCCTCTCGTGCGCGTCCAGTCTCCCCTGTTTCACGTTCTCACCCTATGTTGCTTCGTTCCCACGTGTCTCGTCCTCCCCTCCTCCCATTGCCTCCTCCGTCCTCTCTTGTTATCGCGCCTCCCTTCTGTCTGACTACCTTTGTACCGCTTGTCCTCTTGTTTCTCGTGTCCTTGTCTCTCTCGTTACCACCCGTCTGTTCCTGTTTCGTCTCTTGACGCACTTGTCGCTGCTGTCGCTGACTTCGCCTCTACCCGCCGCCTCGACTATGCCACAGCTCTGGTCTCTGTTTGTGCCAGTCCTCCGTCCGCCGGCGGTGCTCCTGCCCTCGGCAGTGACGTCTTAGAGGACCGGCAGTACGTGCTTGCTTTCCTGTCCGAGGCTGCTCCCTATCTCTGCTCCATGCTACTAGTCCCTAAGGGTGACCCAGACGCTTTCGACATCCCGACCCCTCGCACCTATGCTGAGGCCACCTTGGGACCCTGGGCTTCTCAGTGGATAGCTGCCATGGAGCAGGAGATGGCATCTTGGAGGTCCACCGGCACCCAGGTCGACGCAGTTCCCCTGCCTGGGGTGAACGTAGTCGATGGTTGCTGGCTCTTCAAGGTGAAGCACCCCCATGGAGAGCCGCCTGTGTTCAAGGTGCGCTACGTGGATAGAGGCTTCAGTCAGCGAGAGGGGGTGGACTTCTTCCAGACCTTCGCGCCGACCTCGAAGATGACTACTCTTCGGGTGCTACTGCACGTAGCAGCTCAGCACGACTACGAGCTACACTCCCTTGACTTCTCCTCAGCGTTTCTTCAAGGCAGCCTACACGAGCAGGTCTACCTGTGCCGCCCTCAGAGCTTTACTGGTACCTTCCCTCCTGGGACCCAGTGGCTCCTGCAGCGTTCAGTTTACGGCTTGTGACAGGCGCCCCGTGAGTGGCACGACACACTACGCGCCATGCTAGCTGACCTGC